ACTCTCCTTTTCTTAAGTAAGAAACTACCTAGAGCGGTGGCTCTCAAACTTTTACATTTAATTATTTTTTGTGAGTCTGTGTCCTTATCTAAACTGTGAGCTCCCTAAGGGCAAAAGAAACTGTGTCTTATTATCCCTATATCCACCACATCATTTCAGTAACTGGTGCAAGGTAGATGCTCAAGAAGTGTTTGTTGAATGAATGAATGAATGAATGAATGAAAGATGAATGAATAGAGGGTGACGGAGACATGAGGGTAGTGGTAAGGGTTTCACAGAGCTTATGTGGGTATCAGAGGGAGCTGACCAGTGGTAAGCTAGCCTAGGCACACGGTTGGATTGAGAGCCAATCTCTGTATTTAAGATACATGAATAGACCCTAGAAAAACTAATTAAGATTGCAAGCGATCTGTTCTGCTCCCTGTTCAAATGTTCCCCAATCCATGAAGGTCTTGGAACCTACCCTGCACATGGGACACAGATGAAAGGATGGGGACCCACCCAGTCCAGCCACCGTGGAAGAACATGGTCCTTAGCTCCCAATACTTGGCTTTCCTTTGTTTAACTTCAACCTGTACAGACTTTTTATCTTCTTACTAGATAATACCTACCTTGCATAGTAAATTGGATCAAGTATGTAAAAAATCTTTTAAACTATAAATAACAACATGAAAGCAAAGGGATATTTTACTTATTTCAGTTCACTGTACATAAGAAGAGGCCCCAACTTTTTTAATGTCTCAGGTCCCAGAATAGCTTCCTCTCGCCAGATTTCAGGACTCTGAAGTAACCATTGGCCTAAATAGGAAAATTCCACCAAAAGGAGAGGATTGTATTTTTTTCCCTCAAACTACTTTTTTTGCCTTAAGGTTGTCAAAATGATGCTGTGTAAGAGCAATGGTTTAAACACAAGCAGAAGCTGACATGGATTAACTCTCACAGGATGACTGTAGAGTTAGGGTGATGATCACACAGTCATACCCTGTGTCCACGTTTCCATTCTCCACGGTTTCAGTTACTCACGGCCAACCATGGTCCAAAAATATGAAATGGAAAATCGCAGAAATAAACCAATTCATAAGTTTTAAACTGCACACCCTTCTGAGTAGCATAATGAAATCTCGTGCTGTCCCAGTCTGTCCTGCATGGTTTGTGAATTGTCCGTTTGTCCAGCACATTCACTGTACACGCGACCTGTCCTTCAGTCACCTGGTAGCCCTCTTGGTTATCAGATCAACTGTTGCAGTGTCCCAGCACTTGTGTTCAGTTGACCCTCATTTTACTCAACAGTAGCCTCAAAGCACAAGGGTAGTGCTGCTGGCCATTCGGACATGCCAAAGAGAAATTTTTCACTTACAGTGCTTCCTGTAAGTGAAAAAGGTACTTATGTATAGGACGAACATAATGTGTATAGGGTTCAGTACCATTCACAGTTTCAGGCATCCCCTGGGGGTCTTGGAACATATCCCCCACAGATGAGGGGACCACTGTACTATCAGCTGTTATTCCTGACTTTTTTTTTTTCCAAAACAGAATTGTATTGATGAAATTGAGACCATAATCAGTGTGAAGCTCCAGCTCATCGGAATTGTCGGTATTGGAATTGCAGGTCTTACGGTGAGAGAGTTCCAGAACATCCTTTTTTTTCCCCTCTAAGAAGCCTTGAACCTTTGCATCTTATTTCTCCTCAAGCATGATGGCAGTATCTTAGAGATTTCGTCTAAAAGACAAAGGCATTTGTTAACAGGACATTGAAGAACAAAGTTAATTAGATACATTAATACTTAGTTCTCTAAAATATGATAATATTTTCAACTTTAACGTAATGATGACCTCGAGTTTATCATTGCAATAACGTTCCGTTTCAAAGCCACCAAGTTTAAGTTAGACAAGTGATGTGCGATTCTGTTCTCTTCCTACTGTTAGAAATTTAAAACATCATACCTGGTGAATTTCTCTCACCTGTGATTTGCAGAGGCAGCACAGTATAGTGTAATGCGTGAGCTTTGGCCTCACACTACTTGGATTCAACTCCTAGCTTCACCACTTACGAGCCCTGGGGCCGTGGGAAAGCTTCTTAATTTCTCTATGCGTCAACTCCTTCACCTGTAAAATGAGGGTTTTAATGTACCAAACTCGTAAGATTATTGTAAAGACTGAATGGGATAATACATATGAAGTACTGTTAAAAATTAATTCAGATAAAGTATCTGGAACATAGCATTCAGTAAAAGCTCTGTGTATAATCTGTGTGTTCCCCAACCTAGAACCCAGGCAAAGGGAATAGTGTATGCGAAAGTCTGAAGCATCCAGGCACCTGCAGGTGGCTCAGCTGCTCTAAAGTACAAGAGAAAAGTGCACAAGAATTGATAGAGGCAAGAGGGCCTGGTAGGAGCAGCGAGCAAATGACATGAAGAGGGCGTGAGGGTCCCCATGACTGAGGTCTTTGTGTGACCTTTTCAGAGGTTGGATTTCATCCTTAAGGTAGAGAGAGGGGAGCCATCGAGGGCTGGAGGACTTGCAGTAGAGCGTGGAGGCAAAGTTGGAGGGAAGCAAGATTAGAGTCAGGTAGGGCCAGTAAAGAGGCGATTTCCATTGTCCAGGGGGTGAGTGATAATAGCTACTGCTGAGATAGTACTTAACCTCTGGCCCTCTATGTAGACTAATTCATGGCCCAAGCTAAGGCAGGGGCAATGGGAATTACAAGAAAATCAATGAGTTGGCAGTTCTCGGGGGACACACAAGAGCCTCTTTCCTCTTTTCTGTATCTAGAGCACAGAGAGATGGGGCAGTGGATGAAAATACTATGCTGAGGACCTCCCAATCCAGGGACACCTCTCAGGCCACCCCCACCCACTCTGGGGCTAGCCAGATCACCATTCTGAGACAGAAGATTTGAAAACATTCTGTATAGAAGTATCAGATAGATCCTCCTCACAATTCTATATTCTCCATGAATGAGCATCCTAGAAGTGGTCACCTCTGACTATGACAGTGGCAGGATAAGGCTGAAAAGCTTCTTTCTGAGGAGATCCCTTTAGAGTACAGCCCGAATGAAGTAGGGGTTGCATCCCACCTTACAGCAACAGGGAATGCCCTCTGTTGGCCATCTTGAATCAGCACCCCAGAGTTTTGTCTTTTAATTCTTTTCTTCAAAAAGGGTAAGAGTTTCACAGGGTAATCAGTTAGCCAAGTGTCCATTAGGTGTCTCCCCTGCCACACACTGGTACCGAGTTCTGTCAGCCAGAAGCTTGGAGCCCAGATCCTGCCTCCTCCCTTAGCTAAGTCTACCTCTTCCCTTCCGAAATAACTGATAAATACATGTCTTCCTTAATTTAGCATTTATAAATCCTAGTCTGCTGTAGAATAGGATTGAAGAGAGAACTAGAGAGTTATGGTACTGGTACAAATAAGTATCGACAGTAGTTTATAAACATCGTGCCCACAGATAGCATTCCACAGGCTCTGCAAAATTGTAGGGGAAATGATTGCACGAGAGGATCTTTTGGCATCCTTCTATTCAGACCGTATAAGTGGCTATTGCTTTTGCCAACTATGGCTTCTCAAAAAAGTTTCTAAGAGGTAGAAGAACATCAGTAATATCATAGTTCGAGCATGTCGGTTTATGCGTTAGTAACACTATTGAGTTGAATAGGGAAGCACTGTTTATACCTAAAAATGGACTGGAATGAAAAGATGCTCCACTTTTTAATATGTGGTCACTGTTGCGAAAAATCCAAAGCTTTTCCAACAATAGAAAACTATTTAGAACCCAAGGGTATTTAAACAACTAATGGTTATAAACACTTTTCAAAGTGAATATTTAAAAGATCTGGGATTAACCTGAAATATAAAATTCCAAAACCAGTAGTGTATTATTAGTCTTTTACAATTATTAAGAACTGTGCTATAAGCTATAAATAGAACCCTTCTCTTAAAGCAGAGCCTTGTTATTTTTTAACAAAAAAATTGGAATGTGTTTTAAGCAGAGTTAATATGGAAGTCTTTAACCAGTAGCCATAATTAAGTAGCCCATATAAAAATGCCAGTACTCATTGACTATAATTATGTGTAAAGTTAGACACACAGGCTGTTTACTGACCTTCTAATCAATTTTTATCGTTTGAAAATCATTAATAAGTGCTTCCTTCTGTTTCAGATCTTTGGCATGATATTCAGCATGGTCCTTTGCTGTGCAATACGAAACTCACGAGATGTGATATGAAGCTACTTCTATGAAAATTGCAATCTAGAATTTTCATGGAAATGTCACAGGAGCTATCTGCCGGCTCATTTTTAATATTCGAAGGACATTAGGACCTAAAATAATTTGCTGTCGATTGTACATTTGCACATGTATGTATGTTTGGCTCATTCCTGGTTTACCCCTCAAGTGAATGCCTATGTGTATTGTCTGAGAGTGAGCGCATATTCACGTGTGGTCTGCATGCCTCTGGCATACGCATCACGCAGGATGAAACTGGTTTGCCGGGTAGGGATTCCTGATGTTCATTATGTGAAAGGAATGACATATTTAACTCTCAGAAAAAAAAAAAATGATCAAAAACTCTGATATACTTTTAAAACTTGGCTATTCAAAAGAGTGATAATGGATCAGTTTCTCAGATTCCAGCCATAGAAAGTGAGATACAGAGAATTCAGGGATTTCTAGTTAACAGAAGCAATAAGCTCCTGGAATGGAGAGATCATGGCATAGTCATGTTATAAATGACTGTGTCTGAGTAGAGTGTAAGGGTTTCCTGGGATTTTTTTAATATACATACTCTCCCCCAGAATACAGTAAACCACAGTTTTAGAACTAAACACATCTGTAAAACTAAATATAGCATGGAAAATCTAATTTGAATAAGTCATACTTTCCTAGTATTTTTAAAAAAAAAAAAAAACCCTCTCTCTGGAAAGAGGGCTTACATAGACTAGTACCGAAAAAAAAAAAAACTTTTAAAGACTTTTTAAGGAAATATTTTTGTTCTTCTATAAAGACGTTTTAATATTGCTTTATTACTTTCTTTTTCTGACTCTGAACTACTGCAACCCTCACATCCACAAAAGGGTTCTTATCTCAAACTTCCCTGTTTCTCCAAGTGTAAGGATAGGAAGACTAAAATAAGAGATGTGGCAGTTACAAACTATGGGGAAGAGAATTTCTACTGGCACTGTACCTTCAAAATACCTCATAACTTGAGTTTACATGTTTTCCTAATTTTTTTGTATTTTTCTTATTTATTCACCTAGAGAATTCTTCTTTATAGATTAAGAACTACAGTTTTCGTCAATTTAAAATAAATAAAACAAAATCCTTCATAATTCAAATGTGACATCATGAGCATCCTTGGCCAAACCGAAATAAAGAAAAGCACCTTCTTCTGGTTATGTGCACAGAACAGAGACAACCTAAGGCAACAAAAATACTGCCGCACACACCAGAAACCTGGTTTATTCTATGTAAGTCCCCCATAAGAATAAAGCTTTCGTGTTCTTTTACGGTCTTGATGCTTCATTTTAAGTATATAAACCTAAAATTAGGATTTAAATTGATGTATTTATTCATTTCTAACAACTTGGTACATTTAGTAAATTATGAAGGTTTATTTTTTTTCATTTTTACATTTTAAAAGGCCACGCGAAAGTGAAAGTATGGGAGACTGGGGAACCCCTGAATAAGTTCGTACACCTGTGCTCTAAAGAAAAGTGTGCGCTTCCAAGAAGCTTTACGAAACACAGTGGTCGAAGGCGCAGCCCCGTGCGAGGGCCTCGCCCCGCGAGACCACGCTCCACGCTTCTCCTGCCACGCTGGCTGCTGCCGCTGACTTTGGAGGAAGCTTTTCTAGGGAAAAAAAATAGTCAAGATCGGAAGCAAGCTAAAAATTTAATTGTACACGGCTATTTAGATTCTATTAAGAACAATCACTTTATGAAATAGATGTTTGTGCCCCAGAAGTTGAGAAATAGAACCTTTTAAGCAAAGAACCAAACGACCCATCTCTCCCAGTGCCTTTAGCTCATCTGTCTGCCTAAAGACGGAAAAAAGGCCCAAATGTATGCTCCGGTTTCTTGCAAGTCCGACTCATCAGTGACTCAACAATAGCGAGTTTCATTCTATATCTGAATAACAACCTTAAAGAAGGCTACAATAGTAAAAAGTGGAAGAATAATATCTGCTCCATAAATGTATTAATGTGCCCCTCTAGAAGTAACTTTTCCAAAATATAAGTAAAATGAGTAAAATGAGAAAATTCCGCCTCTGAGTCAGGGTAGATTTGTATGTATCTTGAAAATATATCTTGAATTCCTATATATCTTGAATATAATCTCTTGGAATACATATATATATATATATTATATAAAACTTCAATATATGTATGTGTGTGTGCTTACATGTATACATATATGTGTGCACACACACACACACACACAAATTTTTGGTTTTGTCTGTTTACCTGAACTAATCTGAAGTGAGACCGAAACATTTCCTTAAGCACCTGGAGCCAAGACACTGAATTAAAACTTCTTGATGAAATATTTTAAGTTATTTCAAATTAAATTTTCTATGTACTGAAATTGCCTCTTTGATTTATCTTAAAATCCTATTATGTCTTCATTCACACATTCCCATGACTAAAGTTACAACAACTAGTTATCCCAAACAATATGATGAAGAAAGGACATAGTGGTAACCCCTTTCCGTAGCAATTACTCCTGTGGGGTGGACTTAGAAACAACACCCTAAGCTTAGACTTTTATTGCATATAATTATATTTCAATTAATGCTGTTTTACCCAATTTATACGTCTTTCCCAGAAGACACCGGGTCCGATGCAGTCCTCTGCACAGTCATCGATGATTGTTGCTCTCCCTGTCACCTGTGAGCAGGGCTAAGGGGTTTGGCTTGGTGACAAGGGGGCTCATGGGATGATGACAGTGAAGGAGAAAGCTTATCTTCCCTTCTGAAGTACGGTTGTCAAAGATCGAAAGGAAGAGGCACCGTCCGCATCATGGGTAAAACATGGTTTCCATGGCCCTAAGGGCAGCGAGTGGGAATTCGGGAGGTGCACCCCGATTCTCCTGGTTCACTGCTCCCTTGACATCCCTTTGACCAGCAACCCCACTTCCCCTTCGCCTAGGCGGGAGCATTCGGGGGTCCTTCAAGATAGTCAATTAACTCTAATGTCTTAGTTTAGACTCATCAAAACTAAATTTGTGTATATTTTAAGAAAGACAAAAGGTTGCTGTTTTCTTTCCACGTGACTCATTATTTTTTTTACTATAAAGCGTACCTGTAAGGTATCATATGTAGGTCTCCCCTGAGAGGTGAAATGACTACTCTAGAGCAAAATGTTGTTAATCGTTTTGTTCATATCCTCATAACAAAGAAGGAATACATCCCAGGAACGTATTTAGACTATTCAGATGGCTATCTGCTGGGGACATGGGAATCATGAAGAATAGAAGTAAGGCAAAATTCATGCTGATTTCATAAAGCTTTCAGCTAATGTGCCAGAAACCCTTCCAAACGCTTTGGTATTTATTTTGGGGATTCTTTTTCCCATATAATTTATGATGGTTTTACTTATATAAAGTAGAAGAAATATAAATTGAAAGAAATAACCAAGAAAGTGCTTAGGACACCTCATAATTAATGAATATTACCTATTGTTATAATTATGTTGACAGAGAGAGATTTTGTTAATTACCAATCAAACATACATCATGTGTAATTGAAGATACTTCAGCAAATACCTGTTTGAAAGCATTTGTTGAATTAATGAATAGCTTTTGATATATTTCCCGATTCCATTTTAATTCAAAGACTTGATATGCATAGTCCTTGCCAGACTTCCTATATTTTTATCTCGGCCTGCTCTGCCTTGTAAGATGCAACCCACTCTAATATTAGAATACTTTTCCTTTACTTTGTTTTGGGGCTACTATTTCATACATTAAAAAAACTTTGTAAGAATACTGATATGCTAAGATGAACAAGACAAGTCTTTGCCCTCAAGAAGTTTAGAACAGAAAAAAAGCTGGCAAGTTTAATTACCATCAGACAAGTGCTGTGATAATCATCAACCCAGAATGGACCCATTCGACTTTGGGGAAGCTAGTCAGGGGAGAGGGTTTTCCTGAATTTTGAGGTCTCTAAACTGAATCCTGAAGAACCCATACAAATTAGCCAAGTCCAAGGTAATAAAAGGCATAGAGAAGATAAGGAGACTACTGGGGAGCAACGTGCAAGACCCCAAAACAGAGAAGGTATGGAAACATTCAACGAGGGCACATCAGGAACCGAGGTGATGAAGGGCTCTGCTAAACGGTGCTCAGGGGTTTTATCTTGGTACAGAGGTCATCGGGGAAATTTTAAACAGTGAGTTAGAAAATCAAATTTGAACCTTTTAAAGACTACTGAGCTTCAGTATTGGAAATCTTACCAAGAAGAAGTTGACA